CCCCCCCCACACACACACACACACACACACACCTCCATCACCCATTTCCTCCTTTTGTGGCCATCCACTTCTTCCCTGACAATCCTGCCCTGTTTTGGTGGTTCGGTAAACATAATACAATGCAGTACGTGCGAAAAGATCGCAGACTTGCTGTTATTGATCTTCCCCTTTTGCAGATACCCCAGAGCAGGGTTTTACGGGGGGAAGACACGACAGGGGGGGGGTGAACAGCGATAGTCAGATGATGGCGCACGTGAGCTCAGCTGATTGGTCAGCTGTCGGCAAGTTTGGGAATTCCATGTTGACCCGCATTAGGGCCGCTCCCCCATCTCAACAGGGCCGCTCCCCCATCTCAACATTTCGAGTTATTACACAATGCAGACAGGAATTCGGGCCTTTTCCAAGTGGAGGTAAAAATCTTGCAGTACTTCTGAGACTTGACTGACTGGACTGGACTGGACTGGATCGGATTGGCAGATATTTAGCATTTTCTGCAAAATCCTTGCTCAGGTATTAGGTCCTAATTAGCAGATCTGGTCAATCGAATTGGTGAAAAGAAACATGAGCATCCAGATCGCAGGTGACCCCACCCACCCATCGCACAGGCTCTTCGACCTGCTGACGTCAGGGAGGAGACTGCGGGGTCTCTGTGCTCAAACCAGCAGGCGCAAGAACAGTTTATTCCACCAGGCGGTCAGGAGACTCAACCACCGCCCTGTTCTGCCCCCCCCTTTCGTCTGTGCTGTATGTTTTACACCGAGCGTATTTGACAAGAAAGCTGACTTTGACTTGACAGCAAAGCCGCTCTCGTTTACAACAGCGATAATCCACATTTTCACAGTATAATACAGTCAAAATTAATATTTTCACAATTTTCCCACAATATGTTTAGTTTTGGGCTGTGTTTATGAGTATTTTGGGGAGATTTTTTTTTCATTTCTATGCAAATATTAGGGGTTGACCGTACAGTCAATCAACAAGTTGTTCAAATAGATTAGATGGATTGGTCAAGCTTGTGATTTGATCAGTGAGAACGTGTTTTGTTTTTTTTTCCTTTCATTGATCAGCTCCAAAAGTGACTGCAGTGTGAATTCCACGTTGGCTAATGTGCTAACTCCAAAGCCAAACACGTTGATTCCATTTTGAAAGTGTCATTTGACTCCACCTTTGCGTGTGTGCACACACGCACACACACACACACACACACACACACACACACACACACACACACACACACTATCAGCTGTTTGAGATGAGTTCTTGTGTCAAGTGATTCAGCTCAGGCTGCTTTATCTGCCGCAGGCTTGAGTGTGCGCTTGGCGATAGAGCTCGGGTGGGTGTGGGCCGGTCACACCGATGGCGTGCCGGGTCGGCTCAGTGTCAGCATCGAGGAACCTTCCAGGGCCCTCTCTCTGGAGAGCTCACATCCAAAACAGTTTTTAAAAAATTAGGATGATTAGTTTGTGCTCGTAAAGGGACAGAAGCTCACGTTTGCAACTGTGTCTGTCCCTCTCGACTGACCTGCAAATTGATTGGATTAGCGTGCGAGTCATTATCAGACATTTTTAAGTGATTGCTTGTTCGTGGGGTTTTAATCGTTTATACGTTTTATGAAATCTGCCAAATGCGTAATGTGCACTTCAAATGCATCAAAAATCCTCCCCTCAGCCAATAAATTCCTGGGGGGGGGGGTGGTCCCCCCCCCAAACAATTCATGACTGAAGTTCATGCCCTCTCTCTCGTCACGGCCATTTTGACACGCCGTTGAATACTTGCGCCACTTTGTCCACAAAGGCAAATGAGAAGTGACGAGGCGATGTCATCACGTGCCGTTGCGACTCTGGCGAAACAGGCCCGTCGTAACTCATTGACTGTTTCCTCCATATTTGGGGCTCGCGAGCCAGGGAGAGACCGACCGGCTTCCCTCCTGCCGTCCGACGGCGTTGAAGTGAGCGTGTTTGGCCTCGCTTTGCGTGACTGAAAGCTGCGCTTGCAGGTATCACCTCTCCTTGTATAAAATAGTCAAGGTTTACCCCGTGTTTCGAGTTGGCTGAATCGAGCCGGGCTTCGTAGCAGCCCATCATCATATCTCGCCGTGAACCAATTTCAAACCCGGCGACCCTTTTAATGTGAAGTTCTGGCAAGGGCCCGACGGAGTGGCACAGAATAGCCGCGCAAGTTTATTTGCGGCGCTGATGAAAAAGATCATTCCAGCGTTTCTAAGCCGAGACATGCAGGGATTCGGTGAGACAAAGCTCTTGTTTGTTGGCCGCCGCGTTGTGGAATGTGCGCTCGTTGCCAGCGCGGCCGGCGTTCTCATGCTTTGCCGTGGATGTTCGGCACCGCCGTCACCTTTTTCGAGCAGCCTCGCTCTGTGCTTTTCTAACGTCACCTGTTTGAGCGAGCTCCTGGCGGCGGGGGCAGACAACAGTTAGAATCTTCCGCCCTTGCGCCCCCAATGGACGTGTACTCTGGTCCCCGCGAGGCAGGACATCACGCACACCGTTCTGCCCAAGGAGCTTCTCGTTTTTTCCGACGTCTAGATCCGTCTGACCGACGTGCCGCTGCCCTCCGGCGCTACAGATTGGTTTAACGATGCAGACGGTCAACAGGGCTGTACATACATAATTCATAATGCAGCATCCCCCCCCCCCAACCCCCCTGGAACCACCAACAGCCTCATCATTCAGATGACCTGTTTCTTCGAAACGAGGAGTGAAAGCCAGAGGTGTCTCATTTTCAAAATAATCTGCTTTGGTTTGTCCCCGAAGTGCATTTCTGGACTTCACTCAAATTCACGATTTGTCGTAGCCAAAGGCGCCGTGCGTTTCATGATATTTGTCGTCGTGCATACCATACAATACAGTCGCGCGGGGGGGAAAAAAAAAACCCGCCACACCGTGTTTTCTTTCATTTCTTGTTCATTTTAATGTCATTTTAAAAAGTTACATTTCGATCAATTCCCATTTAGCATCTAGCCTGGAAGGAAATCGCACTTCTGTGTAGCTGACGGATATGAGTGGATACAACTCAAAATACTTGACTTTTATTTTAAACATATTTGTGTTTGGCTGGTCGGGCCAGCTTCCGTCAAGCCCGTGGTGGCTCGACACAGTGCCCTACTGGCCCAGGGCCGTTGGGCCACTGTTATTGTCGGACCCGGCTCTTAAGATATAATTCATCTGCCTGATTCAAGAACAATGCGGTTGGATTCTATTGTCTCCATGAAGTCTTTTTCATTTATTTTCTTGCCAAGAGGGAGGTACAGACTTGATTCCGTCTGCGAGGGCTGGACTCCGGGGAAAACAGGTTTTCAAGTGACTTTCCAATCATGCTTGTGACGTCGTGAGTGACTCATAGTAGCAGCACCTGCCAGGTGAAAGAAACTGCGGGAGGGTGGCGATCGCCTTCCAGGACAACCGCAGTTGATGTTGAGCTCCGCTCCCGCGACCTGCGTTCCTCACTCTTATGAATGCGTTTGTCGCAAACGAGCACCTCTTCCCGCAAGTTCAGCGCGTGTCGCGCCGCCTTTCATGTCAAGACGTCACACCCTCAGGCGCTATTCTGTCGTTCTTCCCGCTTGACTTTCCGGGCACCTGTGTCTTTTGAGTCCTTTGCGGAAATCCCAAAATGAGACTTAATATACTCTGAGAACCTGCAACTGTTTGAAGTCGTCAAAAAGTCAACCCACTACATGTAAAGCGCCTCTATCTGAGACTCATTGTACGTGTCAGGAAAACGAGTTTCCTGTTTTTCCCCACCAGATTATTGAAAGCCCCGTTTTGTATTTAGTTCTGGAATGTGAGGAATGATTGAGCCCGATAAGCTGATGAAGAAACAACTCTGCTCCAAGATGTCTCTTAAACCGCAAGCGTACCCACCCACGTGTAGGACAGCGAAATGACATCAGCCTTCCAAAGATTCTGCCCGCCTTTCTTTCTTTGTGGAAGTCAGTTTGAGGGCTATCGGTGTTCCATCGGTCACGCCAACATCAGAGGGAAAACCCGACGAATTTCCAGCAAATCTCAACCGAGTCTTGCCTGCAGTATTTGAGGGCAAAGAGCATATTTGTACATTTTGTCTGCAGCCAGAACAGACTTTAAGCCCCAAGCTAGTACGTAAGGTCACCGCGAAATCGGCCGTCGTTTTGCAACTGATAACCAAGCACAAAGGTGGGCAGTGTTTGCAAAAAAAAGGATTTCCCCAAATGATAAGTCAAGGAGCTTTGGCAGGACCTTGAGTATTTCTATCGTGGAATTTTTAGCGGGACAAAAAGAACCTGCTTTCGAGAGGGCCAGGAACCATAACTCGGATCTTCACAGCTGAACCCATGATTGAAGGGCTGAAGTCCAGTGAACTCACATTTCCTGGTACTTTGTGTACACTGATTGATATAGATCTGCAAGCCGTCGTAGCGTTTTCTGCTTTCGTGTTTCGGGACCCCCCATCCATTCTGCCTGTGTTGCGCTGTTATCAGCTGATATTTGGGAATTTAACGCACACATCTTGTCTCCACAGAGTTGACCGGTCCCGCCAGGGTGGTGAGAGCAGGCAACCCTCCCAAGGCCAGACGTGGAGGCAAGGTAGGAATGGATTCTTCGATTCCAGGCTGTTCAAAGTGTTGATTACTCTGCATGCATCTCCACTCAACTCGAGTGTATTTCTAGAGCACTTGAAAACAACCGCCGCTACACCAAGCGCTGTACCCGGAGCAAAAAAAAAAATAATTCATACAATAAAACAAGAAATGGATAATAAAGAACGTAGAAAGCACAAAAACTGTCAAAACTAAAAATCGAGTCTCATGCTGAGTCAAAAGCCAAAGAATAAAATTGAGTTTTAAAGAAGCGCAGCGAGGGCGGCTTGCCCAACGTTCATTCCAAAGAGAGGGAGCGGCAACGGAAAAGGCTCCCTCTGAGCCTTCGGTTAGGTCTCGGTACGTCTAATGGTGTCTGGTCCGCAGACGTGAGACGTTGGGCAGGGGCGTAGGAGCTCCGAGAGGTAAGGTGGGGCCAGGCCGTTTCAAGACTTGAAAACAAATCATTAGATCTTCAAAAGAACTCGAAAATGAGCCAGTGAAGGATGCCAGAGTAGGAGTGAGGCGCTCCGGTCAAGGGGCGAGCGGCAGCATTCAGGAGCAACTGGAGACACTTCATGGAGGATCGGCTGACTCCAAAAGAAAGTCCTCTCATCGTTTGTGGCTTCGATCCCGTTGCGGCTTTCACCAAAAGTCGTCTTGCTGTGAATCTCGGAATACAAAAGTTATACACGGTGACTGTACTAAACGCCACGCAACAGGATGTGGAACGTGTTGGAATTTCACAAAGCGCTGCCATCTTTGGCACTTGCCGTCATCGTGCGCGTCGTCACCTTTGCCGAAGGACTCACTCAGACCGTGCTTTGCTGTGTTGCTCAGGTCGGAGACTTTGGCGACACCAACAGTTGGCCCACCCCGGGGGAAATCGCAACGAAAGACATGCAGGTAGGTGTTTGGGCTTTTCCACGTTTGAACGTGGACTAGCAGAAGCGGCTTGTGGCCGATGGGTTTTTGCCGCCCTTGCCGAACCGTCGGTGGAAGGTGATCCCCACAACTAATTTAGCTTTTATTGATGGCCCTTGTGCTCGTGCTAGTTCCCGGCCAGTGCCCAGGTTAGCGCCAGTTTTTTCTTTTTCCACAAGTGGCGCTAGCTCTAGCTGTGGTGCTTAAGCTGGCGCCGATAATTTGTTGGGCCAGGTTCTGGCGCCACCTGTGTCAGGGAGTGGGAGACGGCATTATCGTGACGATCGCAGATGGAGAGGAATGACTGCCTGGACACGCAGAAGTTTTGCACAAACTTGTTGAGTGGTGAACTCCGTGATCACATGCAACGATTAAGAATGAAGCCTTTGCTGATTGGATGTCTCTGATTGTTACATACTACAGACAAGTTTAATCGGTGCTATGCTAAGTTGCCGAGCAGATTTTGACAGCGCACTGTTCTTATTCTTATTAATGGCGCAGACGCTCTTGGGTAAATGTCGACGCCAGCAAGTGATGTTTGGAGGCTTTTCGATGACGGCGTGACGTCACTCCTACTTGGCTTTGTTGGTGGAAAGTATATGTAGATGCATCTGTGCGGGTGAGAGAGTATGAAAACAAATCAAGTAGACGCAGTAGTTTGTGAGCTTGTGAAAAGCAAATGGCTGCCTCCCTTTGTACAGAAACCTGACGCGGAGGCACGGAAGCCTTTGCTGATTGGATGTCTCTGATTGTTACATACTACAGACAAGTTTAATCGGTGCTATGCTAAGTTGCCGAGCAGATTTTGACAGCGCACTGTTCTTATTCTTATTAATGGCGCAGACGCTCTTGGGTAAATGTCGACGCCAGCAAGTGATGTTTGGAGGCTTTTCGATGACGGCGTGACGTCACTCCTACTTGGCTTTGTTGGTGGAAAGTATATGTAGATGCATCTGTGCGGGTGAGAGAGTATGAAAACAAATCAAGTAGACGCAGTAGTTTGTGAGCTTGTGAAAAGCAAATGGCTGCCTCCCTTTGTACAGAAACCTGACGCGGAGGCACGGGACGTACTTTTGCGGCGTCTTTAGTTCGGTAACTGTCGTACGTGCATGGAGCGTTTTAAAATGGTTCTCCTTGGCACTCCAGATTCCCATTCTTTCCCAGTGCCATCAGTGCATTGCAGATGAAACTAACTTTGAATGAAAATAATAAGAATAATAATTAAAGAAAAAGATGTATCGCAGCAGCGCTCGTCACGAGATGCAATTGCTAAAAACATCCGGTGATGCAGATCATGCGCCACCGTTGGTTAGAGGTGACATGCTTTTTTATTTTATTATTACTATTTTATTTTATTTTATTTTTTGTGAAAGTGACGGGATGATTAGGGTGCAGTCTGCACTAATACAAAAATATCACGATCTACGTTTCGGGCATCCCTGCTCCAAACCATTCATTGATTGTCAATAGTTTTTTGATGAATTTGATAATTGATGAGTTGGTGACTTTGGACAGCTCTCAACATGAGCTTTATTTCTCCTCCCAAGCGTTGACGCTTTCCAACACTGACGTCGGTGTATATGGTCACATGGACGCTACAAAAGCGTGTGGCTCTTGACCCCACTGTATTGTGCCGAGAAGGACGGATTGTCATTGTCAAAAAATGGATTGTCATCACATCATCGTCTCCTCGGAAAAAAATCTGGAGTGTGTCTGATTGCTCACAAAATAGCCAGAAGGTACGCAGAGGCATTCCCGACGTGCTTCCGTGTTGCATAATAGCGGCGTCAAAGCCCTCTGAGCACCAAACAGCTGTGGCAGCCCGTTCAACCTCACGTCTCGACACAGTGACCCCCCCTCACCTTTTGGTCAAGCGGCAGCCCTCGGAGCGCTTGGCTATTTTTGATCCCCAGATCGACTGGCGCGTCAGCGGCAGCGCGGCGCCCTAATTTAGACGGCGGGATCTCGGCGAGCGCGACGGCGCGCACGACCCGGTCGCTCAGCAGGAAAATGTGGGTCGGCATCATCGCAGCCCGGAATAAATGGCGCTTGGGCCGGTCGTTTGGGTGCGTCGGCCAATGCCGGGGAAGGTTTGTCCTTTTAGGGATCCCCCTCCATCGGTGATGCCGCTGCTATTTCGGGGGACTGTGAGCGTCACGTAACAGGAGTGCGTGCATGCTGACGAGCCGTGTGATGAGAAGGTCGATCTTCGGAGCAGAGCGCAGCGGCTTTCGGACTGGTGCCTTTTTTTTGGCTGCATAGTGCCGAGTTGAGCTTTGTTGGTTGGATCGTTGTCCCAAGCACACATTGTTTCTCCACCGAATTCAGGGTGGCCATTCCTTTCTGTTTTTCTCATGACATTTTCTCCGCCATCCCACCACACGACGACGCCGATTATTGCTGTACTTGCGTACTGAGCAGTGCTTACCTTAATCCTCAGCAGTTAGCCTAATCGCCCAAACCAAACAGTGTCCTCTCACGGGCAGGCTTAGCTTTACATATTCCCCCATCCCCCCCCCCCTCATCTCATTTGTGTCTGTGAACAATTTGTTTTTATTTTAATTTTTTGGGGGCGGGCGGGGGCGCATTGTTGGTGTGTTTTGTTTTCCCGGTCCACTCATTGTGTCCTCTAAACTGCTCTTCCCTCCTTCCCTCCCTCCCTCCCTCTGTTCAGATCGAGGCAGTGACACGGACCGTGTCCTGCCCACCGACTGTCAGGCAGGGCAAAGACTCGTGGAGATCCACTGTAAGTTTCAACCGGCAGCCTCGTAATATGCCTGCAGCCTGCCTGTTGACAGCCTCCCCCGCCCCCATACGATTAGTACACCGGCTTTAGGCTCCACACTTGCAAACTATGTCGAGAGAGGCTGTTGCTCGTATTCAAATGGAAGAGTATCAAATTCTGGAAGAAATGTCTTCACTGATCAATCTTTCTGTTTTCTCCCTGTTTTCAAACTAACTCTTAATCTGAGACATCTTCCTAGCGTCAGACTAACATGAACAAAGACGTCCCACGATTTTTTTTTAAACATCTAATTTCGCCGTATCTCCATATTTCTGAAAACATTGAAATGGGCACGCTTATTTATACTTTTGTGTGCATTTTTGTTATTCCCAACTGAGCCCTGCCAAAATTAGTGGCCTCCCCCACCCCATAAAATGGATTTAAAATGCCGCTAGATGACAGAAAAGCACTTTTTGGGGCCTGTCTATCTTAGCGGGGTTTAACTGTACTTGCGCAACGGTAACTGAAAAAGTTTTCGAGAAGTCTTTCAGTGGTGAGCAAAAAAAGCTCAGTAAGCGACCGGATTTGAGCCCATGACAGGAATACAAAATAAAGCCTCGCCTAAAAAGTGAGGATTGATGTTTTAAAAGGATGCAGGCAAAGCAGCGTACTATTTGATAGCGTACTTATCTGCGACGAAATATTTCAAAGGCAGCGTACTTTGTTGCGTACGTGAACAAATGTCACAGGCTAAGGCTAAAAGTATAAAAAATCAAAATGAATGAACTCCTTCCTCGGCAATAACTTTAGGCAACATGACATCAGTGTCTTGCGTTTGACTTTTTGACCTTTGAACATGAAAGTCAGTGGAGCGAGCTTGTTTGGCAGCGCTGAATCACCGAGTCGACATCCCCCTCCTACTCGAACGTTGGTCGTCATTAAAACCCATTCACTGTTTTCTCCTCACCCTCATTACTTGTATTCACCATTCACCATTCAAAGCCTGGACGGTGAGCTGGGTTTAATGGATTACGGCTAGTGGACGCATGCTGCAGTTGAGTTCATCTGTGTTGTGTTGGGAAATTATAGTGGCGGCGCGCTAATCCTGCTGCTCCGTTTTCACGCAAGGTCTTCCTTTTTCGTGTCAATTGTGTTGAACTAGATGCAGTGATAAACCTTTTTTTGTTTGGATGGCTGCCGATGGAAGAAGGGGAGTCGTCGCCCGATAATGTGTTTTTGGCGGGATGTGGATTTATTGTGTGCATTCAGCAACATGGAATGCCGTGTACTTTAATCCCCTTGGTGAGAACACCTTGCATGAGTTCCTGTGCGAACAACTCGCACGATTGTCGTGTTTGTAGTGTCGCTGGCTGTTTTATATTTTTTTCTTATTATTATTATTATTGGGGTGGGGGGCTGCATCCTTAACAGGGATGGCGCCACACTGGGCCTAATAAGGGCTGCGATAGCCCCGTCAGAAATCCGTGTCGCGCAAGTTCAGACCCTCCAACATTTTATTTGACATTCTAAAATATACGACAAAAGCATTTTTCTAATTGGAACAAAACAGGAGGGAGGGTAAAACCATTTTGTTGGCTGGCTCCGGTTGTCCTGTCATCCCACTAACAGACCAGGACATGCAGCCCGCTAGGTGGCTAAAGTGTCTCTCTTCTAACGTCAGCCTGTCATCCCATCAGGCCCACAAGAAGATATCCACCAAGAAGGAAACGAAGGAGAAGCGCGAGAGCAACGAGGAGAGCAAGGAGAACCTCAAGACCAACAAGTCGGACGACTCTGGGGAGGAAAAGAATGGAGACGACGATTCCCACAAGAATGGCCAGAAGAAAAAAGGTCAACTTGGTCAATTAAGAAATAATCTTTTTTTTTTTTTTGGTTCTGCGTCCAAATTTGTAATATTATTCTGATCAAATACTAAATGACATCATTTTCTGATGGCGGGTTTCACTTTTCTGGTGCTACGTGGTTAGCCGGAGACTATCATGCCAACTTCCTGTTCCGCTACGTCTTCCATCTTCCGCCTCCTTCCAGTGCCGCTGGATTTGTAGACAAACTGAGTGCCACGTCACTGCAAAGTAGCTGTGTCATTCCCTTTGTTTGTCAGCAGTTGAGTTCATCTGTGTTGTGTTGGGAAATTATAGTGGCGGCGCGCTAATCCTGCTGCTCCGTTTTCACGCAAGGTCTTCCTTTTTCGTGTCAATTGTGTTGAACTAGATGCAGTGATAAACCTTTTTTTGTTTGGATGGCTGCCGATGGAAGAAGGGGAGTCGTCGCCCGATAATGTGTTTTTGGCGGGATGTGGATTTATTGTGTGCATTCAGCAACATGGAATGCCGTGTACTTTAATCCCCTTGGTGAGAACACCTTGCATGAGTTCCTGTGCGAACAACTCGCACGATTGTCGTGTTTGTAGTGTCGCTGGCTGTTTTATATTTTTTTCTTATTATTATTATTATTGGGGTGGGGGGCTGCATCCTTAACAGGGATGGCGCCACACTGGGCCTAATAAGGGCTGCGATAGCCCCGTCAGAAATCCGTGTCGCGCAAGTTCAGACCCTCCAACATTTTATTTGACATTCTAAAATATACGACAAAAGCATTTTTCTAATTGGAACAAAACAGGAGGGAGGGTAAAACCATTTTGTTGGCTGGCTCCGGTTGTCCTGTCATCCCACTAACAGACCAGGACATGCAGCCCGCTAGGTGGCTAAAGTGTCTCTCTTCTAACGTCAGCCTGTCATCCCATCAGGCCCACAAGAAGATATCCACCAAGAAGGAAACGAAGGAGAAGCGCGAGAGCAACGAGGAGAGCAAGGAGAACCTCAAGACCAACAAGTCGGACGACTCTGGGGAGGAAAAGAATGGAGACGACGATTCCCACAAGAATGGCCAGAAGAAAAAAGGTCAACTTGGTCAATTAAGAAATAATCTTTTTTTTTTTTTTTGGTTCTGCGTCCAAATTTGTAATATTATTCTGATCAAATACTAAATGACATCATTTTCTGATGGCGGGTTTCACTTTTCTGGTGCTACGTGGTTAGCCGGAGACTATCATGCCAACTTCCTGTTCCGCTACGTCTTCCATCTTCCGCCTCCTTCCAGTGCCGCTGGATTTGTAGACAAACTGAGTGCCACGTCACTGCAAAGTAGCTGTGTCATTCCCTTTGTTTGTCCTCACAGTCACCGCACACTTCAGCAGATGCCGCATGCCCCCTGCTGGCCAGCCGTGGTCCTGCAAAAGGCTGGCCCCATAAAGGCTTTCATTATTCCAAATAAGATGCAAGACGTCAAACTGCTGTTGAAAGAAGTTAAAAAGGCAACAGACGCAATCATTGTTAATTTGCCTCAACAACTCTGTGACCACATACAGGAAACAAACAGAAGTGGGTTCCGCTGATGATCGAGGGGCCCCGGGAGCGTTCGGCCTCCCGGAATAACAGCAGGCAGAACGAAAATCCTCGCCTGCCGCCCAATGCCAGGAACGACCTCCGAGGTGAGCGCAACGCTCGGCCGTGAAGTTGACCTCGCGAGAAAAGTTTGGCGCGCTGATTGTGGAGCTGTCGCCGCAGACTGGCACAGTCAGAAGTACGAGCGGGAGTGGCGCGACGACCACGACGAGGTGTCCAGCGTCAAGAGCGAGGGGGCCCCGTTCCGCGGCGGCTTCAGGGGACGCGGGCGCGGCCGAGGGAGAGGCAGAGGACGGGGGAGAGGCAGAGGTACGGCAAAGATGGAAATCGTTTTTCGAACAAATCAAGCGGACTCCCAACATTATTACCTTTTGTTTCTTGTCTTTGCTACTCTTGTGTGGTTTCTGTCATCTAAAACAAAAAAGCCCTCCCCAATTTCATGACTCATTTTGATGACTTCAGAGCTGTCATGGTCTCTGAAATAGATTTTAACAATGTAATCTTAGATGGAATTTAGATCAAACACACTAGAAAACATTGTTTTTTTTTTGTTGTTGTTTTTTTAATCTACAATTGCAGATGTGCTGCAGACATGATGAGGTGTTCATGTCTCTTCTCTGACTAAAAATCAATGGAGAGGACTTTCACAACTCTGATCTCAGTATTGAAGCTTTAACATTGAAAACATACATATCTAGAATGTATTTATTATTTTAAATTGAACAAGCTCAAAATGTGTGCGCTTCAATGTGGGCTGAACAATTATCAGACTGGAGATTGACCTCACAATGCAGGAGAATGCAAATTTCAGATCGCAAAGGCCACAATTGAAAATAAAAACAGCTCATCTACTCTTTGGTGGCCTGAATATATCCCAACAGGTTTTTCTTTTTTCCCTGAGCGTCGAGAATGTGATTTCTAAGTACGTCTTTCCTCCCCCCCAGGCCACTACGACTACCACCAAGGCTACAAGTCGTACAACACGAAAGACGGACCCTACGGGCAGAAATTCAGCAACTCGGTCACCTACTACTACGACAACATGAGCAGCAGCGACCTTTATTCGGTGGACCAGGACCTGCTCAAGGACTACATCAAGAGGCAAATGTGAGCTTGGACCAGTCGACACTTTTGAGCCGCAGCAGAAATGATGAGCGTTTTCATGTCTCTTCTCTGATGAAAACACAATGAAGAGCACAGGTTTAACTCTGATCTCCGCATGAATCCCGCGAGGGATGCGCGCCGTTGAGAGAACAAGCGGCAGAATTTGAACTTTGGCTCGTTTCTTTGGCATGCAAGCGAACCTCTGACCTTGTTTTACCGCAGTGAGTACTACTTCAGCCTGGACAACCTGGAGCGCGATTTCTTCCTGCGGAGGAAGATGGACCAGGAAGGATTCCTGCCCATCGGACTCATCGCCAGCTTCCACCGCGTTCAGGCCCTCACCACCGACGTCGCCATCATCCTGGAAGTAGGGATGCTGTTGCTCCTCTCGTTCGCATTCTCACTTTGCTCCGGCGCGCCTGCAAATTCGAATCGCTGCCAGTTGACCGCGCGCGGAAGAATTGATGCGATATTCATGTCTCTTCTCTGACATCGCTGGAGAGATTTTTCACAACTCTGATCTCCGCACGGAAAACAAAAATGGCCATTTCTTATTGACTGTGAAAAGATGAGCGGCATCGTCCGTGTAACGCGTCTGTGACCTCGCTCCCGGCAGGCTCTGAAGGACAGCAAAGAAGTGGAAGTGCTGGACATGAAGATCCGTCGCAAGTTGGAGCCCGAGAAGTGGCCCCTGCCGGGCCTGACGCTGCCAAACCACACCGACTTCTCCCAGCTCATCAACTGCCCTGAGTTTGTCCCCAGGCAGCCCACTGAGGATCCCGCTGGTAAGGATGTTACCGCTCTATTAGACCACATCCATTGATTGATCAGTGATTACGGCCCGAATAACTCCAGTGGCGAATTTGGATGACATTTAGCCACACTAGTTGGTGCCACCTCAAAAAAGAAATGAGAATAATAAGACAAAGAGCGATAATGCCAAAACGTGATCAAAATCAAGGAATGCCGCCGTTGTCTATCAGGGTCTCTCAGGGCCTCGACCCTGACGCAACGTCCGCCCAAGGCCGAATCTGACATGCCCTCCAACCTTAAGACGATGCCCAAGGGCCTCTCCGCGAGCCTCCCCGACCTAGACTCCGAGTCCTGGATCGAGGTCAAGAAGAGGCCCAGACCTTCGCCGGCTAGACCCAAGGTCAGCCCAGAGAAGGTGACGCCCTCGTTCTTTCATTCACGGCGAACGGTGCCGAATGTGGACCGTCTCTCGGCTTGGTTGATTTTTGGCCTTGCTGGAACATTCCATCA